CCTGCCTTACCGGTCACTCACTGCTCTACAAATCCTGCAGTCCCTTGCCTTCGTCTTTTCTTCAATACTTACAAGGAATGGTTTGAGCCCCTGACCTTTGCAATACCAAGATTCAGGACTCTCAGCCTCCCTAGAAACGTGGGTCCTCGTTCTTTAGTATTTTGTGGGGGAAATGGGCACTTGCTCAATGTCCATGTGCGCTGAATCCCTCGTTCTGCCTGTGCTTGCACCTCCCTTTGTGGAAGGCCCTTTCCTGGGAGAGGACTCGTTACAGAGGTTTGGTGATGAAATGGGATCGAAGCCATGTCAGTTTGTTTCCTGTTTTTCTTTTTTGTGGTGCTCAGGATTCAACCCAGGGCCTTTGCACTGAGCTACATCTTCAGTCCTTTTAATATTTTTTAAAAAAATCGTCAGACAGAGCCCTAAGTTACTAAGTTGACCAGGCTGGGCTCAAATTTGTGATCCTCCTGTCTCAGCCTCCCAGAGCACTGGGATTATAGCTGTGTGTCACCATACCCAGCTAAATTTGTTTCCTTGCAGTGGAAGAATGTATCCCAATTTCAGAGATCTTAAAAATGAAAAAAGTTTTGCTGTAGAATGGGTGAAATGTGGTATAAGAATTGACTAGAAGTTGCAGAAGAAGGTAATCAGAGATGGTTTTCCTTGTTGTTCAGAAAGAGCCCCATTTCCTTAATTTGGATATCATTAGTGTATTTTAAACTCTTCATAGTCATTTTATCAGAACTGTTCAAGTACTGTGAGTTTTGGAGAAAAAGACATCTCCTTATCCTGCCAGAAATCACTTCATAGAAGTTCAACTTTCAATATCATAAAACCAGAAATTGTCACTTAATTAACGATCCAAAGAGTCCAAATTTTCCAAATACATTCAATGTCAGTACTCTCCATATGTTCTGGAATTTTTACTCTATAATCTTGATGTTTGCTTTTTTCAAGGATACTCTTCATTCAAAGCCAACTAATTGAACCAAAAGATACTGTGGGGGAACTTATGCTTATAGCCACATTCCGAGAGGCATTTGAAGAAACCAAGGGAGGTGTCTAAGTCAGTGATCCCTTTTATAACAATATAGTGATATCAGAGTTTGAAATGTAGCAATAGCTTCCATATAAACTCTCCTTGAATTTGCACCAAATATCACAGCACTTGTCTTATTATTGCCCTCAATTTCCCTTTAAACACATCCTAGAATTTCCAACACCGCCTGTGAAATTTGTACTATCTTTAATCACATGCTTCCTGTCTTAAGCAAAACCTTGTTTATTCTTTGCAATTGTGTTCAGCACCTAGGAAAAAAGCCAAGTTCTCTCTTATGGACAGGAGAAGATATGCCAACTTAACCGTGTTTACAATTGCTTTTTGCCATCCCAACATCAATTCTTAGGAAATGAAGAGTTTTTATTTGTGTACTTTTGGCTATTGTTACTTTTGCCTTCCTCTTATTTTGTGATTAATTGTGATCACTTTATCCCTCTGCTAGCTGGTGGCCATGATTAATTTGTTGTTGTTTTTCTGTGACCTTCAATGTTCTGTCGTCAGGGTAGAGAACTCCGCTGGCAGACTGCATCCTCATCGGCCCTTTCTTCGTGTTTTGTTTAGATACGAGTGCAGATTGACAGCTCTACATGAAGTAAATGCTTTCATAAGAAGGAAAACAGATGATAATTTTAGTTTTTAGATGAAGAAGCAAAACAACCTTGAATAAATGATGAATATTGATTTTTAAAAAAATTGTTTATCAAGAAGTACAGAATTGTGCATAATTTGATCTCATTTCACATGTATCTGCTGGAAATTGGCCACAAAGCAACACACTTACTTTGGATCTCAAGATGTAAATGAAATGAACTTATTAAATATTGTGCTCATTGTTTGGTAGGGTTTCTAAACTTCTTATAGAGACTCAACCTTGTGACAGCATGACTGTTCAGCCTGTATTGGAAACCGGGGCCACTATTGCGGGGCGGTAGGGCGGGGCGCCATGATGTTCTCGGCATCCTTTTGAATTCTTCTTTTTTAATAGACAGAATGTATTGGAATAAATTTAGTTTATGCTTTCTTGGTCGTGATCATTCTCAAGTGTGCCTATCTGACGTTCACCCATTCAGTTCCAGCACCATTTACTGAGAGCCTGCTAAATCCCAGGCACCAGACTGGCATACACAAAGGGACACACAATCCCTGACCTCAAGTTGTTGGCTGTGTAGCAGGAAGACAGACTCATCAACAGATAGCTGAAGACGGTGCGGTTGGACTGTTGCTGGATCTGGGCTGTCTCAGCAGTTCTTCAGTCACACGTTTTTCAAGCAGGACCTGGTCACTTCCACAGATGGCTCATTCCCTCCATTATGCTTGCTCCATCCTAATTTCATCCTGGGTTTTCGTTTTACCTTCCTTTGCCCCTGTTTCTTCCTTGGCCAGAAAAATCTCCTGAGAGACATCATTGCTGAAGTACACATCACACCCCTTCCCAGAGAAATACAGAAAGTCTGTACGTGCGAACTTACAAACAACCCAGTAGTAAATGCAGAATGGGATTTGCCAGATATTAGGCTCTGATGATCCCCACTTGTGTAAATATGTAATACATATGACACACACTGCCTAAGCCTTGAACATATTTGAAGATTATTATCCCATCTGTCAGCAGCGGCTACTTAAGGGAAATGGGTTGGTGAGGAGAAGCCTGAACTTTTTGTCTCATACAATCCTATTGTCTTTGATATTTTTAACTTAAAAAATTTCTTCCAGTGTGTGGGAAAAATAAAAGTATTGGGTAGCTCTTGGTTCTGCAGAGTAATGGACCCAAGCTGAAGGAACTGTTGTCCTCCTTTGACACCTGTCCTCTCTTCTTACCCTAATCTTCCCCGAGCCCCTGCATCCCTCTCCTGGAAGCTTCCTCCCCTGGCACTGAGCAGACCCTGCAACGTGTTAGGTCAGGCTGTGCTTGCTGAGCGTTCCCTGTGTGGCTGGGAATGCACAGGAGGAAGTGCCATCAAGGCCTGCTTCCTCTGGGGAGCCTTCCCCATCCTCCCTCCTCTGAGGCTTCGGTCATTTAGCCTACAGGGGACTTCACACCACCTGATCGAAAGGTTCTAAGGGAAGGGCACTGGCTCTGTTCATCTGTGCGCTGGCAGCCTCTGTTCATTGTTAATCTACCTTTAGGGCAGGTGAGCTGGCGGCGCCGGAAGTGGAGAAGGAGACAGGAAGCGTGCAACGATGAGAGTAAGCTGTGCAGGAAGAGGGCGTGACTACTGTGAGGGAGACATCCGGAGCACCATGAAGGTCTACAGGGAGGAAATGGGTGCTGAGTAAGAGTAGAGCACGAAAAGCCTTCCTTGGAGAAGGCAGTTACGCGGGACTTGAAGAATGAGACGCAGTGGTTCAGGAGAGGATTCCAGATGAGAAGACCTGGAATGCTCAGCAGGAAGGGAGAGGGGGTGGGTGTAGATGATCCCGAGGGCGCGGGGGGACAGAAGAGGTGGGAGGGGTAGGCAAGGTCCATTCCTGTGTTTCATCTTCTGAAGTTTGCACCTCATGCTATGAAAACGGTGGGGGCAAATGCACGCTTTCATTTACAGTGGGGCCACCCATCTGTCTTTGAGAAGGGTCATGCCCCGGAGGGCAGTGAGTGGGTTGGAGACCGTCAGGGTACTTCCGGCATGGGGTCCGGCCACGGTGCCCTCAACTAGGGCGGACTGGTCATGAATCGTGGGATGCATTTCTATCAGGTTAACGTTTTGCTTGAAATCTCTGCTCATCTGGCACGTTTCCTCTGGCCTCTTTCCCTCCAGGCTTCAAATGGCTCTAGAGTTTTTGGCTTTAAAAAAAGGGAAAAGGACAAACAAAACACTTCACAAAAGAGGCTCTCCAAATTGCCAATGCAGTACATTTGTTAAAAGACAAACAGTTCTACTTTTGTTAGCAGTGAATTACAGTTATGATCTACCACTCCACTTACCAGAACGGTGAGATGATGGAGTGACAATGCCTAATGTTGCCGGCGACGGGGAACATCAGGGGCTCTGACACCCTGCTGGCCAGGGCACAGCTGCCTTTGCGTTCTGCACGTGCCTGCATGACTGGCAGCATCTTCTAGCGATACTCTCACCGTTTGTATGGCCTGTTTCTTCCTTTTTTTTTTTTTTGGCTAGTCTCTCTAGACTAATGCTTCTGTATGGAGCTGTGTGATCTTTCGGCAAGTTGGTTTAATGTTTTGGCCTTCATTTCTCCACCTATAATGAAGAGAATACTATTTCTCTCTTCTTATGATTGTTAGGAGACTTAAGTGGTGCAATACCTGCAGAATACCACAGAATAGTTGCTCAATAAATGGGTTCTAATGGAACCCTTCCAAGAGCAGCAAGTTCTGCTGCTGCTTTGCACCTGTGTACCTCAAGAACTAAACTCAGTGGGATGCACTGTCCAGAGGGGTCAACCTGGTTCACTGACAAAGAAAGCACTCAGGGCTGCGTGTGTTTGATTTCTTTCAAACCTGGGTGATTGTATTGCTGACAGGGACTGGAGCATCAGAGGAGCACTCCGTAGCTTAGAGAAGCTTGTAAAATGCTTTAACAAATATATAAGAATCATATATAATTGGCACACACTTTGTTTGAATGCAAACACTGCTGTTAAAGTGGTGCTTGAAAACAGTTTGTTGGCCTTCCCTTCATACAGGAGAAACATTTCTCTCGTTTACACGACTCACTTGCTTAGCAAACCCTTATTTATCCTATAATGCGAGCATAATCTGCCCAACATGTCCAAATGCCCACAGATCCTGAATTAGTGGAGTCTGAATTAATGGCATTCCAGGCAGTCTCTCACGGAGAACTGTAAGCATTTGGAAATGACTCACTCCGACCGTGTCAAGGACACTCCAGAAGAATCACCTCTTCCCTCCCCTTTTCCATCTCTTCCTGCTGCTTGTGTTTCAGTTCTGGCTGTCAGAGACAGAGGACGACAGACCCAAATGTATATTCTTACGACATTTGAATAGGTATTTATTGAGAAGCCACAGTTTCCCACACTCTCATAACTGTAGGCTTTATATAAGGCAAAAGCAAGATGGATCCACTACTTTACACAGACAGAACGAGCTCCGCAGCAGACCCCAGGGTCGCGCAGTCACAGACCAAATGCAGGGTACATGGTGGATGTAAAAAACAGGGTGGAACAAAATAATTTAAATTATGGTTATAATCTCCTGAAGGAAACACCTTTATCTTCTTATAAACACATTTGTAGTCTAGGATTGTAATTTAAATATTCAGTTTTTTTTTAACACACAGGGTTATTGAAACAAAAGCAAAAGGTAACATTTAACAGGATAAACTTTGACAGGAGACAGTTACTCTGCACGGCGCTAGGTGCTAATCGTGACAGGATAGCCCCCTTGCCGAGGCGATGAGAACCAGTCCGTTGGTGTGTAGCTTTCTCTTTTCTTTTTTGGCTATGTAGGTAAATGAAAAGCTGGGCTACCAGGAACACAGGGGTCCAGTTTTATTTTAGTTTTAGGGGAACAGAAAGAACCAAAAGTTAGCTGTTGGAGCCTGGCTTTTGGTTTCTCAATAAAAACCAAGCAGATCTATGTGCTTCATTAAATTAATTTATTTATGTACTCATTAAAATAACTGGCATCCACATACATGAACGAAGAAGTTAAAGTACTCAGCATACTTGCCCTTACACCCTCGTACCACCGACACACACAGTACTGAGTATGAAGCATCATTATACTTGGCCAAGAATGCGGACGGGCCTAAGAGCTGGACTACGTGTTCTCCACGAACGGCATTTAAAGAATGGTGCTCCATATTGCTTGTAAACATACAGACATGGAAATAAGAAAATCAGTAGATCTGAAGGTCATTTGCTAATCTTGGTACCACATAGCTAAAATGACAGTTGTACTGGTCAACATCTCATGGGCATGGTAGAGGACAGAAAATTCCCTAGTGGGGTTAACTAACAGACTAAGGACATGCAGTGATTCCAGGACTGTGTCCCGGTGGACTCCAGGCCCGAGGGCTCTAGTCGTCTTCCTCGTCCTCCTCATCGCTGTCCTTCATGCTGATGCCCTGCAGGCCCCCGCCCTCGCTCACGGACGCCGTGGCCTCCTCCACGGTGAGCCGGTTCCGGATGGTCTCGTAGGTCTTGCTGTTGAGGGTGGAATCCAGGACCCCTTGCAATCGGAAATCTCTGTAGGTTTTCTAAGGAGGGAAAAGATGCAGTGATCAGGGAGAGCTCAGCTCCGGGTGGAGAGGGAGGATGCAAAGCAGGTGTGTGTGAGAAGACCGGACTTCGGCTAATGTCACTCTGCCTTCAGTGCCAAGTAAAAGGCCATCCTACTCAGATTGCATTTTGTACTGAAAACTGAGCCTCACTGAATGACAGAAAATGAGAAATTGTGACAGGATAAACTGTATTAGATGAGACAAAGCAAAGAACATAAGTGTGTGTTTATTCAGTTCTGTAGAGGGAAATGTTCCATAATTGTTTTGGTACTTTTTTTTTTTTTTTAAGTCTGCTTCTTTCTCTTAGGTTAGTGTAACACACTGTGATTGACAGTGCGAGGGGCTGTAGCATATAAATGATGGATCCAGTGATTATGGTATTTGTGATTTCTGTTGCAGTCTCGTCTTTAGGATTTTTGAGTCTTCTAATTGCGTGAACCGGATCCCTCTGTCTTGTTCACAAGATAGACATATGCATGTTGGTATATGAAACCTATCATGGGCAGCAACAATGACGGGAAAGATGGAGCGCTAATGCCTCATCAATATGTTGCAGGCATGTGACTCAGTTCTCATCTCCTTGGGAAAGAACTGTATCTATTCCGTTCACAACTTTATGCACTCAGGGAAGAAACTTGGCTCTTTTTCAAGAACAATGGTTGGGTTGTACTGAACCACAAGTTCTTTCTTTGTTCCTTCAGGCAATTTCTCTCGGATTTCCTTAGGTATCCTGAGGACTGTTTTTTTTTTTTTTTTTTTTTCTAGAAATCCCTTCGTGTTAATTGAACATGACCAGAAGCATCTGGCTGTTGTCTACTTCATAATTTATTTTTTTTAAAAAAGGCCCCTTTCTAACTACAACTCTTGTCACACTGCATATCATTTCAGCTACTGATTCTGCTGTTTGCTTCTCCTATTGCGATAAGAAACTTGACAAAGGGGCAAAAGAAAGAAAGTTAACGTATTCCAATACCACTCCCACCATTATTTTTAATAATCCTTCTAATGCGGTGGTAGTTCAGCCATCGCAAGGTCAGCTGCCTTCGGAGATTACACGTCGCAGTGACTCTAGAGATAATGAATGAGCAAGTGCAGCTTGGCTCTGGGCAGCCCAACACCGTAAGACTGTGGGAAGGATGACCATGTGCTCCCTTTGTACTTTGCCCACTCTGCCAGCATGATTACTCCTAGTCCCTCTTGCCCTCTTAAAAGTAACCTGGCTGAGGCACTCAATCATAAGGTCATCCTAAATCCTGGATCAAGCTGCAGGCTCTCAAGAGGAGGAAGCGGCCAGGCAGCTGCTTGGACTGTTTCTCTACCTTGATGGGGAAAGGCAAGAGGCTGAGTCCGTGGGGTAGACCAGCCAGGTCATTAGCTGAAATTTCTGAACTTTTTAATCAGTGGTTGCATGGCAATTTTCAGTAACACCATTGTTGCCAAAACAGGATGGGAAAAATACAGGTAAATGTGCTTGAGTGTTCTGCCTGGAATTTGAATTCCAGGATATGACCTGGAGCCTAATGCATAAGGGCAGGCCACCTCTAGCCATTTTTGAATCTTCCATCTGGTCATGTGCAAGGAGAGGCTCACCTCGTCTTCATCCAGTGTTGGGTGAATGAAGGCATGCTTCCTGGGTAATGAATGGATGTATGAGTAAACAGAGTAGCTGCTGAGGGAGCAGAGGAAGCCAGGTATCTTTGGAAATGGGCCCTGCAGAAGGAGACCTCTTGGTCCTGTACTTGGTACTAGGAGGTGAATTCTGCTTCCTATCTCTGTGGGGTGGCCTTAGTGAAGCAAGGACTGATTTTGGTGAGGGGAAGAGATTCCTTCAGCAGTGACATTTCTGCACCACTTCTCTGTAGGGTGTGTGTGTGTGTGTGTTTGACAGAGGATGAAGATTAACCTCCTCTCTGACATATTTTTTCTTAATAAAATATTGCTAATTCTCAACACAGATCTGGAAATATCAGTTATGGGGAGATAATTTAAAAATATTAAAATGTTCTTTTTTTCATATCGACCCAGTAAAGGTCAAATGGAAATCACTTTCCCCCATGAGCATATTTATATCCAGAAAATGGACTTCAAGTGGTCATGCAATGGCTAGTGAGTTTGCTTAGGGAAACTGAAATAAAAATGGGAAAATTCAGCTCAGTCCATAGCTGGAGTGAGTGTGTGTGTACGTGTGCCTGTGTGTGTTTTAAGAGCTGTCATATACTGCTGTCTGTAACCTTTTCTAGGCAGGTGCTTTGTGAGATCAAATGCGAATGACAATGCTTCTCTTTTTTTTTGTTGTTTTGTTTTTTTTCCAGTAGCAGGAATTGAACTCACAACCTTGCGCTTGCCAGGCAGGCACTGTGCCACTGAGCTAAATCACCAGCCCCCGACAAAGCTTCTCCTTAATCACACATTGGTTTACGTCAGCACCGGGGTGGGGGAGTACCCTCAAGGGCATGGTGCCGATCCAAAAGAGACGGAGAAATGGGGTGCGGCTGGATGTGGGGGAGACTTTTGGCAAGCTGTTAAGAAACAGGAATTCAGCTATGTAGATGGTTAAAATATTTTGAAGGAGACTGTGCTTTGAATGGGAGTTCTGCACAGGAGGGTTTAAAAACCCTCCACAGTGAGGCATCAAATGGAAACTGAAATGATCAAAAACGTATTTACCCCCTTCTGTGATCTTATTATTTCATGTAAACCACTGAGATTTCACGCTGAAATAATTATCATTAGTCCAAGGCGCGTGCAGAAGAACAGGGAAAAAAGCTACTTTCAGGGTATGTTATCTCACCTTTGTGATCCTTTACATTTGATTGTATACACGCATTGTAAGAGAAACCACTTCAATTAACTATGAGAACAATATTGATTTGCATTCTGATAATGATCCCGGGACATATTTAGAAATAGCTGCAAGTAAATATCTCCATCAAATCAATTGTGATAAAATTTTATTTAATTAAACCATAAATGAAATTGGTAATTTATGTGATTAGCATAATGACACCAAATGCCAGCTTTTGAAAGTCTAATGCAAAGGGTACCATGCCTTTGTGGTATTTTTTGCAAGGCAAATAAAGTATTCTTTTCTGTCTGGATAAAGATATCAAATTCCTTTTCACTAAAGTTTTCTTGGATGTATGAGTAAGAAATGAACCAGGCATAACGAAATGATTTCCGAGTGTTTTCCCCTTGTAGGAGATTCTAGTCTAGAAATTCATGTTGCACATGTAAACAAATATTCTTTGTGTTAAGGATGTCCTGTGGCTTGGCAGTGAGGTGTATTTCAGTAGGCTATTTGCAATGGAGAATAATTATTATTATTTTTTCGTTTACCTTTACCATCCTAATTAGTGTTTTCAACTGATATATGTGAAGCTGCAAGTCCATCCGGTCCGTCAACCAGGTACAGATGACATTCATGGAGCTGTTGTACCATTGCTGAAAAAGAGAAAAAGTTCTCCAGCCAACACGTCATGGAGTCTTTAGAGGGCAAAGAGGGACCAGGCCGTGTTTGAGCACCCCATTCTGTTCCAGGAGGAAACAAAAACGGTTAATGAGAGCTTGAGAGGACAGAGATCATGAACATTAATTTACACAAAACCACAAGGTGCTGGACCAGTCCAAACGAGAGCGGTCTTGGCATCTAACACCTCTACCCTACACGTTTTGGATATAGTCCATTCCCAGAGACCATCTTTAGCTCTTCTGTTTCTTTCTGTAATTGGCTAATTTCACTCATTTGAGATTCCAGGCAGTGCTGATTTCTTAATGCCGTTGTCTCCTGTGCCCAGAGATGGGGACTTCTTTACCGAACTAATTACTGTCCGCTGCCACTTACCTTTCCAAAACCCTGGGCCCTTCTGTATTATGTACAATTCTGGGAGTCAGGCTGAGAGCGTGAGGAATGGAGGGGACGTTTCCCTTCGTTTACCCGACTGGGGTGCTCCTCACGAGACAATGGTGTGAGGATTTCACTTTAAGGGCCAAACTGTTCTCTGGTCAGCTTCCGTGCCCTTGCATTGGCTGTGCAATCTGTTTTAATCTTAACACCAAAAAATTATGAGAAGAGAGAGAGAGGGAGAGAAAGGGAGAGAGGGAACCATCTACAAATGAGCTCATTTCAAGCTGTTGAAATCATACTTCCCCTTAAGGGGGTTAAATTTTGCTTCATGTCTGTGAAAAATGCTTGAAGCGGTGTCACTTTAGACTGCCACCCCTGTAGCGCAGGAAGCCTCTGGTGCAGTATAATTTTGCAGCACTGCTCATATATTCATAAATCTCACTCACAGACATATGAACAGTGTTATGAAGTGTCAGGATAGGAAAAAAATCTAATCTTTTAAACTTCTCCAGGTTTCATTACGCTCCGCCGTGTATACCAAACAATTTACAAATAAAATGAAAAGGTGAGGATGGACCTATATGTTTTTATTCATAGGGCATCTATATGAATTGTGCACAGAAAAGATGCAAAAGAGAGAGTGGTTAGGGAACTGAGAGGATGCACCCTCTCACACTAACCAGTACGCACACGCACACGCACACGCGCGCACACATCACACACCAGTGGGGATTCGGAAAGCATAAATAAAAACATGTTTCTGATGGTAACTCCACCCATTCTCACCTAAAGATCATCCAAACTCAGTTTATGCCTAACACTCACAGTTTTTCTGAAGCCTTGTTTCTGACTTAATTTCTTTAAAAAAAAATTAATTTGGGTTTTTACTTGCAAGGTAGAACTGCCAAGTTTCACCTTGCAAGAAACGACACAGTCTCAGCCATGGTGTGCAGAAGCCCTCTTCGCAATCTTCCCTGTCGAGGCTCCTTCCTCACTGGAGCCAACTGTGGCTCTGCCTGGAGCCCAGCCGCGACGGAGCCCACACCACCCCAAGGGAGGCAGCACTGCAGCCTCACAGCCAGCTTCTGCTCTTTTAAAGATCATAGAGGCGAAACTGTTGGTTTTAGGAGCCTTCTGTCCCTCCCCATGGAGCGGGTGGCCAGGGAGGGGGACAGTGGGAGAGAATCTTCTAGTGATGTGGGGATCACGCCACGCCGGGAGGGGATTTCGAGGGTCAAGCTGCTTGAGGCATGGACAGGTTTTCCCTCTAGGGCTGAGAATATTTTAACAAAACTTTTTTGGGGGTAGTGGTTGTCGGTGGGAGGTGTTTTTGGCACCTCCTGCCATGGGATGCGGGAACATTTGTTGTCGCCGCACCTGGGTTTGATCAAGAGGGTCCAGGGAGAGGACTGTCCCTGGGTCGCAGTTGTTTCTACAGCCTTACCTTGCTCTTGGCAGTTGAGGGCTCTTCTGGGCTCACCCTGGGCCTCCAATCTCACATTCCCTGGCTGCATCTGCCATGTGATCCGAGGGCTCAGAATCGATTTTGAGAACTCTAAGCAACCTCCCCTTGCCTCTGGCGCCCTGGGTGGGAAGATGGCCTTCAAGAATCCTGTAACCCTCAGGCCAACCGGCAGGCCTGGGCCCTGTGATGAGTACATCCCCGGGACACAAAAGAGAAGTGTGGCACTCTGGCTTCCAGGCAGAGGTGGCATTTTGCTTTGGCTGTGACAACAGGCAAACCGGCGCTGGCTTCTATCACTGCCAACAAGCCTTGTGCAACATGCCTTTTTCTCTTTGCTGAGAGACGTGCCACCTTTCAGGAAAAAAAAATAGCAGCCCCCCCTCCATTTTATGTAGGCAGTTTCCATACTTGAAAATGGCTTTTAAATGGTAAAATAATACAATAAAAATGCAAATAAAAAGGTAGTGTGCTATCCACAGTCTCCCTGCGCTGCTGAGGGGAGGGAGGGAGGAGGTGCGCACAGCGAGGGCCCCTGCATCCCGCGCAGATTCCCACCCCAGGAGAGCAAGAGCGCCCTGGAACATCCATGCTTTTCCTCCTGGATCTCACATCTAGCAAAAGAAGTGTAAAAAATGTATGATGCCCCATTGGCTACACATCGAAAGAGGCAAAAGGGAGTCAGTCACTCCTTTCCAAACCTTATGCTCAGTAGATGAAATTGGAGGCAATTTTGGATGCTGCACAGCACTAACTGGGTTTTCCAGAAAGGCGCTTAAAGGCATTTGGATGTCAGAGAAAGCAGGAGGCTTTGCCTGCTCGAACTTTAAAATGTTGGAGGTGGAAGGCACCCGCCTCTTGTCCTCTGGAGAGGAGGAAACAAAGACTCAGGGAGGTGACTTGCCCAAGGTCACACGTGTCGTGGCTTTGAAACTGGCTGCCCCTGGAGAGAAACAGCTCACAACCACCGGGCTCCTAATCAGATGGAGCTGCGTGTCGGTCCGGAGAGCTGATCTCGGGCCTTGCTTTTACCTCCACGCCCAGGGTACCGCAGAGAGAGCTAGAAATAGGCCGCAGCGGAGGCTTTTACACCACCGACACTGGCAAGCTCCACAGCCACGGCTTTCTCCCTCCCGGCCCTTACAGTAACAGCGTATTGCTGGGTTGTTCTGGCTCTTCCTGGAGGGCTGAGAGTGCTTATTAGTCAGGTTTGCTGTATTTGAGATCGTTGCTAATGCAGCAGATTTGTTATGGTTCTTCAAAAGAGGAAATTCATAAAACATTTTAAGTTCTCCCCGTTTTGTTTTTTCTTGGGTTTTGATGTGTCTTTTTTGGAGCCATCCTAATACCTGGGCAGTAAATGTACTCTCGATCTGTGGAAACCACAATTGAGAACTGACGGTCTCTACTAAGTATAATCACAATTCTTTGGCCGCCTCCCCTTAATTCAGGAATATAAATGGGAGACTTCCTAAATAAGATTCTGTAGTCTGAAAAAAACAGGAGAAAAAGAAAATCCGCAGTAGCTTGGCTCCTTTGAAACAGGTCCCCAGGAATTGCATCATGGAGACTTTCATGCTGGAACCCACAGGGACACCTATCACAGCTGCAACCTGTAGGTCTGGGGGTTCTTGGGAAGTTGGGAACTTTTCTATTAGCTGCAACCAGATCAGAAAGATCTATTTGAAAGGAGCTCGGAGGCTCACTAAAACCCTTTGCCGTTTCATTTTTCTTTCTTACTTTCTGTTACGTAGTGGTTAAGAGCACAAGCTCTAAAACATAAGAGTTTGTGACCTTGAGCAAGTTACTTTCAGTCTCAGAAGATTCGGCTTCCTGACAAAAATGGGAACGGATCATCTGATGAGGAAATGAAATGCTGCTGGAGCATCTACTAGCGGAGCTTGGCATGTTATACGACTACAACCAATGTGACCCGCCTCTGCCATGGCCACCACCCTTGTCTCCTCCACTGCAACCACCATTATCACTCAGTTTTTTTCTCTCTCTCAAGCAAAGAGATTTTTAAAAAAGAAGAAAACAGGCCAGGTAGCCAGGGAAAACCATGTGGGGTGGGAGAAATAACTTCTCTTGGAATATCTCCAGAATTGAATGCATAATCCTTACATAGCACATGAGTAGCTCTTAGCAATGGGACTCCTTTGGAAGGTTATTTTGTATTAGGTCATCACACAGACCTGTGTGACTGTCTTGGGTCATATAGCACATTTAAGCTACATTGATCTAGACTGAGGTCTTGGGTTAAAAGGATTCAGACAAAGAATGAGTGATTTCTCAAACCCTGTGAGGATAAGAAGAGCTTCAGCCTGGGTTGGCTACTTATTAGGGGGATAACCTGAAGCAAACTGCTTAACTCTGACCCTCTGTCTCCTCTTGGGGTTAATGCCAGCACCTACTTCATAGGATTACTGTGAGCACTGAAAGAGATAATTTATGCAAAGTGCTAAGGAGAATGACTGTCACATAGTAAGTACTCAATAAAAACTTAGCCACTGTCACTACTCTCAGAAACAGCAGATACACTTTCAGGTTATAATGCCAAAGAAATTTTCTCAATCCACTCCTTGTAGAAGCTTAGGTAATTACTACGCAGATATGATCACATTCCCTCAAACATACTGCTTCCCATAGGGCAGTCCGTATACACATGATGCTTCTGTGCAAGCTCAGATCCCCTGCTGCCATGACTACGAAGGGGCAGTGAGGCAGATCACATGAGAGCAGAATCCAATGCCAACTTTAATTAAAATTGTGATAGTTCATTCATCAGTAATTTTTTGCACGAGTCTTGATTTTTTAAAAATATTGTGTCAAGGTATTATCTAATGTCTTTTGACTCCCCCATAAATTTTGCAGTCAAGAAGGAACTTACTCCTCCTTAGCCCTTGCCCTAGGATTCACTGGAAACTTTCTCTCTTGGAAACAAGCAGAACTAGAGATACAGTGACTAACTAACACCTCACTGGACCATGCAGGGTTCACAGAAGACGGGCTCTTATTTAGATTTGGGCAGTTTCCATCCGCGATAGAGAGTACTGTCAGAACGATTGCTGTTGTGCTTATACCCTCTGCCGTCACAGCCACCACCATGTATATGTGTTAATTCTTTTTTGGGGG